GCAAATCTGTGAAACAACTGAAGGGGAGCCTGTGACTTTGGGCCAAGGGCTTTCTTGGGCCGCGATTTTTTCAACGAGTTTTACGTGCCTCGCTTGGACCCTCCTGGAGCATCACTTGGGGCATTCTGTGCGCCTGTGGGGCCTGTCGGACGGTCTTGAAACCTTCTTGGCGGCCTGCTGGTGCCGATTTGGGCCGTCTTGGGGTGATTTTGACGTCCCTTCCTCGTTCTCTCTCCTCACTCTCCCCATCCGCCTTTGCTGCTTCGCCTTTCTTCTTTCCCCCACCCCTTCCTTGCTCCCTCCCCCTCCTCGCCCCTCTTTCTTCCCTCTTCGCTCGTTTTCTTCTGCTTACCCTCGCTCTTCCTCCTCGTCTGTCCCTGCCCTTCCTCTTTTCCGCTCCCCATCCTTCCTCCTCCCCGCTCACCATCCTCCCTCATTCCTCCTCCCCACATTCCCACCTTCCCTTCTGCCCTCCCTCCCTCCTGCCTCGTCCCTTCTCTCATCCTCCCCCCCTTTCTCTGCTTCCTGGTTCTCTCCCCTCCCTCCTCCGCGAGCGACTGCGATCCTGCGGCCCTGATCCCTGCGCACTGAGGAGACGTGGGCAAACCTCACACACGTCCCTGGGCCCCCGCTCCTTCCCTCCCTCCTCCTCCTCCTCCTCCTCCTCCTCCTCCCTCCTCCTTCCCCTCCTCCCCCTCCTCCTTCCTCCCTCCTCCCTCCCTCCTCCCTCCCTCCCTCCCTCCCGCTCCTCCTCCTCCTCCTCCTCCTCCTCTCCCTCCTGACAGGTGGACACCCTCAATGGCCACTTCTCCTGGTTGACGTCGGGCCCCGTGGCCGCCCCGTCTCCTCGCGCAGAGGGTCCGGCCAGGCTTCGCGTTCGCCACGACCAAGGCGCCGCAGCCGGTGCCCAGGGCCGCCTCCGGGCCTGGCCCGAGGGTTGATAGGCACGCTTGTGTGGTTAAGGTAGAATATCGCCCACGCAAGGGGGGTGCAAAGTAGAAAGAGCAATAATTCCTTAAAACGGACAATATAAACTTAAACTCCCCCAAAGATGAAGCACGAGTGCGCTGTTGGGGAACATGTACATTACTATTCGATGTGGTTGGCTGGCTTCCTCACATAGCATATGGTTGCCCTTATGCATGTTCAGTTTGCCCCGTAACATATGGTTGCCCGTATAGTTGCCCTTGTGCAGATGTTTGCCCTTATGCATTATTCGATATCTTTGCTTGGGACAATGACATACCAGATGGAGCCGTCTTGGGGGCCTCACGGGCCGTCTTGGAAGCTTCTTGGGCCGTCTGGGGGCCGTCTTGGGGCCGTCTTGGGCTGTCTTGGGGCCGTCTTGCCCTGCCAACAAACAGCAAAGTTCCCTTCAAGCAATGACCTACAACCTCGCCGAAAACAAAAACACCACACGACCCCCCCCCCACTCCCCCCCAATCCCAAGAACAGTGGAATCGATGCCGATTAGGGTCGTTGTTGGGGTGGGTGGGTGGGGAGCGTTTTCTGTATCGACTGGGCTTAGAGGGGTGTGGGCCGTTTCTGTTTACGGCGGGGTTGGAGGTTTTTCGGTGAGGTTGTCCACCCGTCCGTAACCGTTTTGGCCCAAACTATTCGGCCTCTTATAACCCCACGCTGGTTTCTTCGAGGCAGCCCAATATCCTGTCGCCCAACTGGACATGGATGATGAGGTTGGCGGCGACACAGGTGTTCCAGGCGATGCATTGCCACCCGTGCCACCTGTGCTTGCCGCCCCACCCCGTGGCGGTGGCAGGAGACGAGCAGGCTTCGAAGGCCGACTAACTTTGTTCATCGTCTTCGGAGTCTCTGGCGCCGCATGGAATCATGAATTCAGGCACGTCGGGGCGACCAGGTTCGATGATGGTGCTCAGCGTTTTTTCGGCGTGGTACTGGGACGGTGGAAGTTGCTGACGGTTGACGCTGCGAAAGCGTTGGCCGATGCTGCGGATGGGCCCGATCATATCATCATATACGCTTCTTTGGCCAATGCCAGACGTCAGGAGATATCTGGAGTTCTGGTTCACAGTGCAACCGAGAGTATTGAAGTTACATGCCCCATCGAATGTACCGCGCGCAGCGCTGCTGAAGTGTTCGCTGCGATGCAAGACATGATGTGCATTTATCACAAGCCAGGGCCAGATGGCCCAACAGAGGGTGTGTGGCAAGATATGCTGAACAAACTTCTCCATGGTCGCAGCGACGTGCCGTTTTATTGCCCGTTGCTTGTATGCCCGACTCTGGCCATTGGAATTGTTTCATCAATCCAGAGCGTGTTCAGCAGCTGTGCTGTGAAAACTCGGTTTCATCAAATGTTGCTTCAAGGCCCGCCAGCTCATGTCCTCAAGAGGTTTCGAGAGCTCCACCCCCCGCAGATGCAGATCGCGAGGTCCGCCCGAGGACCAGAACATCCACCAGGTGCGGTCCGTCGTCATATGTCCATGCCAGCAGATATGGTGATCGAGTGGTTGAGGGCATCGAAAGATTTGAAGGCGGTGAGGCACGCATGGAAATCAGCAAACAACTGGGGGAACCTTTTTGAGCGCAGCCTTAATTTGGAACGTGATTCCTTGAGACAGGGCCTTTCGGCAGTGCGCTACGACACACTTCGGAGTGCAAGAGTGCGCGTTGACTGGATGGCGATGCGCCTGACCAGACAACTATTCGCCACAACTGACTTTCGACAGATCGACTTGTTCATACACATCGACGGGTCTCCACAGGGGCGGGGTTGGGAGATGCAAGCTGCGTCGTTCACCGTCCGACGAGGCGGCCGCGACCTCATGGCGCGCATGTTTCCGCCAGTATTGCTGATGCGGACCCAGTTGAGCGCGCTACACAAGTGCGCTGCCCTTCTCTGGCAAATTTGGCTCTGCTTTGGTGGTGCAGTTGATCGCATGAGACGGTTCCTGTATAGAGTACGTGGCCTTGTGAGCGACATGGGGACAGAATACGCTTTGGCCAAAATGAACGACATGTTGCCAGACTTCTTCGCGCAGCTTGGTTTTCCAGGTCGAGTGCCTCGAGGGGCTCTGCTGTTTCCACGAGCTATGCTTATCCCTGGATGGCGCCACAAAATAGATGTGTTATTACGCACAGGATGTCATTCATTACAATGGTTCCCGCTTTTTCTGGCCAGGATCAAAGCACTCATATCGATGTTTCGGGATGAGGTCGCCAGGGCGGGCGATCCAACTCGACGGAAATCCAGCTTTATAATCACCTTCCCCCCAATGGCCCTCAGATGGCCCCGCATGGGGGAGGGGGCGGGAACGTCGACGTGCGACGCATATTGCGACGGATAAGAACTCGTACACGAGAAATCTTGGGGGGGGCAAGGGGGAAGGTGATGTTGGCGGTGCTTCGTTGAATTGGATCGCTGGAAGGGCATCAGAGATACGTTGTCAAAACATTGGCGCAGCAACGGCCTCCATGGACTAGCATCTCTCATTGAGGATGTGTCGCTCCCTTGTTTCGCGGAGTGGCGCTGGAGAAAGCTTTTGGATTGCCTTGTCGGACTGGACAAGTTCATATGGTCAGTGAGGGGGCACTTCGACAGGGCGGCGCTCGGCGATGTGAGGGACAGAGTTCGACTTGATAAGGTGTTCGGCGCTCTTTCCAGTGATCGGTTTCAATACGAGTTCGATCTCATGAAGTGGTATTCCACGTGGCTTGGGCGCCTCATGGCATTCGCTGGATTTTGCCCGTGCCACCAGGAGCTGTGGGACGTTGGTCGCACAGGTTTCAATTGCCAGAAGAAAGGATGTGTCTTGGGCTTCGCTTATACGTACTCCCGTGCTGCCCTCAGGAAGGGCGTGGCCGAAGCCAACGCGTGGCCGGATACCAGGTTCGGCCCTTACCCAGAGCTCGTGAGAGATGGCCAAGGCCTCGCCAGGAGTACGCTGGCGCTCGGTTTTTTGAAGGTGGCCTTTCTCGACGACTTGCCATATATATTAGGCAGGCTGCACGAGGCTGGGGTCAGGGATCGTTGCATTCAGTTGTTCAACGCACATCCTGTTGTGTGCCATGACTCGACCACGCTAGCTGTGCTTCAACCTGGCGCGCCGCTCCGCGCAGCAGTTGACGCTATGGACAACATGGGCGGAGGCATGGCCCCAGGGCTCGAGGCGGAGGTCGACTCGATACGCTACGCGCCGCTCGACGACACTGTGGCAGAACGGCCCCGCGCTGTTGGTCGGCACTATCACCTGCGGGCGCGTCGCGCTTTGTTCCCGTGGATAGCCGCCTGCATGCGGCTCGACAGCAACCTCGGCGACGTGGGCGAATTCTCGACGGCGCTCAACGCGGGCTTGGATGAGCAGTGGGACAATGCTACATCTGTCTTGCGAGCGCCTGGGCCACTGTCTCGCGCGCATGCTGCTGTGAAGCTGCCTCGGAAATTGGCGGAGGAACGCACCTACACCGTGAAGCATCTATGTGGCATTCGCTACGGCATGGCTGATCGCGGCGGTGCTGTCAACCGCGGCGGAGGCGCTGGAGACGGAGGCGGCGACGGACACGGCGGTGCTGGAGGTGACGCTGACATGCCCGCTGCGGACGGGGATGCCGACCAGGAGGACGCTGACCCTACAAACAACTCGGAGGGGGGCAGGATGAGGAGGATGATGAGAAGCAGGAGGAGTACGATGAGGAGACAGAGGAGGAGGAAGAGGACGAAAACGATGAGGATGACGAGGAGGATGAGGAGAAGGAGGAGGAGGAGGAGGAGACGGAGGAGGATGAAGAGGAGGCGGAGGTATAATCCGCATCATCCCCAGGACGATGACGGGCATGACCATCATGACGCAGGTGATGGGGCTGATCCTGGCGGCGGCGGCGCTGGCGGCGGCGGCGGCCGCCGACCCGTCAGATCTACGAGAAAACGTGCTTATGGGTTCAATCCTGGCGAGGCCAGCCTCCTGAGTGACTACTTGAGCAATACGCTCGTGCAACACCAGTACTACTCCGTGAGGGTTGCA